GGAAGGAAGGAAGGAAGGAAGGAAGGAAGGAAGGAAGGAAGGAAGGAAGGAAGGACAAAGCCAAAAGTGCAGAAAAAAAGAAAGAAAATATAAAGAAGTAACTTTCAATTTTCTTTTATAGCAGTTATATGTCTAAATGCAAATTAACTTCTTACTCTATGGTTACAGCATGACTTTCATTTTTTCTATAATCTATTTTTTTTCTAATCATCAAAACCATATATCATACATTCATTTGTTTCTGTTTCACTCAAAAAGCCTATAAGGGTCAGCATTAAACTTGGTAAATGTCTTTTCTCTGATCAAAGATGTCATTTTGGCCATCTTCACCATCCATTCCTCCATTGTGGGCAATGTCGAGTCTTTCCATCTTTGTGCATAATCTCACTGCAGTTATCATGTACAGAAACAAAGCTCCATGACTCTTTTCCAACTGTCTATTGATGAATCCCAAAAGAAAATCATCTCTTCTGACATAGCTGGAAACATCCATTTCAGACAATAAGAAAGTATGGTTTTCTCATTGTTTCTTATTTCAGAGTTGGGCAGCTATTTCTTAGTAGCCAAATCGTTAAATGTTAACACAAGGTATTTTTAACAACATCACCTGCTTCTCTTTTATTCTTAAAGCGAAGCAGCTGCAGCTGCCAATAAAGTCTAACTACAAAATCATGACAGGCGCAGTGAATGAAGGAATAAGCTTCTGCTCAAAAGCCTCTTTATGCCATTTCAGCAGAGACAGCCTGTGAGAATGAGTCCAAGCAATGAATCACGTCTTTGCAAAGCAGGCAGTAAAGTTCAGAGTCCTTAAACACAAGGAACTACATTTACCAGGAATAAAAGCAAAGTCCCGGTTACAGAAAGTGAAACATTAGTATGCGTGGCATGAAGGCAAGGAGACTCACTAGTGTACCGCAAAGTGAATCACAGTCTCTCTTCTTTATAAACACAGGAGCTTCAAAATGGGCAAACATTTGGCACAGCTTTGAAAGATACCTTTGACAAAATGGAATTTCTAGGATTCTTGGGAAAAGGAGTTGCCTGTGGCACATTCTGCCTTTTTTTATTATTATTATTATTTTGCTTATAATTAATTCTATTGTAATCAGGGGCTTCTCAATTCAGGGGGGATGATGTGGGTGTAAACCTCTCATTCTACAATAGGAACTTAACCTATTTGAGGGTGAAACTTCTATTTGGTATTTGAGTGATGTGCTGGAAGTTCCCCTCCAGAAACTAAACAGAGCTAGGAATAATAATAATAGTAATGGTAATAGTAATAGTAGTAATAGTAATAGTAATACCACCAAAAAAAACCCAACAATAACCCAACTCCAGTCATCCGTAGAGCTATGTAATATGTAATAAATGGCATTGGTTTCTCGTTTTCAGCAATAAATCACACTACAAACTTTTGGCAATAATAGAAGAGGAGGTTACACACGACAACAAGTACTTTTATTAAAGACTGGAAATCTGTTATGGACTTTTTGCTGAAAATGGAAAAAAATGAATTGATGATTTATGGATCTGCTGATTAAAAAGGGTTGAATATGGGAAGAAGAGAATTATGATATAACTTTAATGCGGGAGAAAAAAGGATAAGTTTGTTACTGCTCTAAAGAAATTAGATAGTCGCTTCTTTATATATCTTTTCTTTCTTCTATTTGTATTTTTTAATCACTCTTCTAATTTCTCACCTTACACTTTTCTTTTTCTTTTCTTTAATCTTACAGTATTTCATGTTAATCTCTGTGAAAATTTCTAATAAAAATTATTTTTAAAAAGCCGAGGAAGTTTGAAAGGCCTCACAAGGTGATTACTTGGAGTGTGTGTGACTAAGCAGCCAGAGATTGCTACAACATCTGAAACAATGATCTAATGTCACTACTGTGTAGCATCCACTGTACTGGACTGGAGTAAATGATGAATTGTTTCTGTGACTAATGCTGACAGGGCCTTAGAATTTAGGAAATTCAATGAATAATGAACAAAATGGTCATGGAAATCCAACTTTAGACAGAGAAACCTGAGGGGCTACTGGACACTGGCTCTGAAAACCCCCCAATAACAATGACAAATAAAACATACTGCAACCATTTTACAATAATGATTCATCTGATGAAAATGCATTGATTTTAGGACACTTTCCACTGAAGCAATCTAGGAGCAAGTCCCACAGGGTTCATGGGATTTATTTCCAATTAAGTGTGCATAAGACTGAAGCTAAATACACATTAGACATATAAAAACTTCTTGTTTTGTTGCCTTTGATGTGTGTGACTACTGCTCCCATAATCCTCAAGCATAATGCTTAAGTAGCCTGGCCAGTAACCAGGCTGGAGAGGTTACAAGAACTATACCAGGTGGAGAAGCTGCTATGCAAGTTGCTAGTTTAACAGCCATACCATCTTCCTGAGGAAACTTGAGAACTCTACTCCAGTCTCTGGGAGAAGACTAAACACCTGTAAGAGTGAAGTCATTTTGCCAAATTATATTTCTCAGGTCAGGTACCTTGACAGAAGCAACTACACTTAAAGTAATATAAATAAAAAGCAAAGCATCTTTGTAGCATAGATTATGCTTTGGATTTTTGAACAGCTACACTATAATTATTCAGCTACTTCAAGTCACATCTAGTAGTATTAGTTCGGCACTTATAATCAGTACTAAGTAGTCAGTTTCTAACATCTTATTGAGTCTGTATCAGATCTGGACTGCAAAAATCTGGACCACCGCCACAAAGTAATAAAGAATTAGAGTTCCCTATATTTCTATTTTCTTCAATCCTGATTTTTCCAGCTCATTCTGGTAACACTTATTAAAGTATTTCTCATGGTCACTTTTATTTTGTTGACAAGACTATGGGAAAAAGACTAGAAGCACCTGCTATTATTTAGCTGGATTATTATAATACATGTTGTGCATTTACCAAATCAAAACAGACACAGTTAAATAAAAGAAATGGAAAAGAAATACTAATTAAAATGCAATAAGCCTCTGAGGATATCTTAAGTTCTCATTTCACTCACCAAGGCAAGAGGAATTTTCCTTCCCCATTTGGTATCCTCTGGGACAGATGCTCAGCTCCTGAACTGACAGACCGATCATACTCATTTTAAAAACCACAAGCAAAAGGGTGAGAAAGAGAAACATCATTTTTTAGAAGTTAAAAAAAAAGTCAGTAGGAGCAAACAGCTTATTTTAACTTCTGTCATACCCTGGCCAAAACAAGCAGGTGTAACAATTCTTCAAGATGCACTTGTCTATAACAACCAAAGAAAACCTGTTCTGGTTTGATTATTCATTCTTGCCTCATTTGAGAACTGAGGTGCTCCCTATCAGCAGCTGTGAACTTTGAAGAAGTTCCAGGATGATCTCTTCAGTGCTACTTCTTCTTCTACTTCTTCTTCTTCTTCTTCTTCTTTCTTTTTTTTTTTTGGAAACCAAGTATGAAATGCCTGACCCTCTCGTTACAAATTTAAGGTGGCTTCAAACCAAAGAACGCTTCCACGACTACAAAATTCCAGTGCTGAAACAAAACAATGAATGAATGAGCTGCTGATGTTCCTGAAAATGTTAATTAAAAATGAAACAAAATCAGCTTCTAGAAACCTTTCAAAATAATGCCTTTATATTAGTTTGGCTGAAGTGTTAGAATCCCCAAAACACAAATCTCTGTTTTACACTCATGGTAGAATGACTCTTCTCTTTGTACAGCTTGTTCCCCAACCATCCTTTCTTTTCGTTTTAGTGCCACTTGAGTGAAGCCTGTGTTTGCAAATAGAAACGAAGCCAGCAACTTGCTGAAGTGAAGCCATCCACCCTCTCCACAGCCTGCTGAGAACCTCCTCACTATAAATGTCTGGTTTGGATATTTCTGTGTGTGTGCTTGACTCTAAAGTTTAACTTTTGGAGCAATATTTACATTTATGTTTAAAATGTTTGTTTGTCTTGTATTTCTTCTATTTTCCCCCTAATTAAAGCAGCAGTTTAGGAAAGAAAAAATGTTGGAAAGATTGAAAATATACTAAATGTACAAAATAATCCTGTAAAGAATCAAATGTCATCTGTCCCATTTTACATATAGAAAACAATTGAAATGGAAGTTGAATATATAGGGAGCTCTCATTGTACCTAAAGACAGGAGAGGCTACGTGACACAAAAACAGCTCTATTCAACCACACTCCACTGCCACTCTCTGAAGTCTTCATCTGCAACCTGAGGAAGATGCCTCCCTCTATCTAATGGTAGGGCTGAGCCTAGGAGGTTTATAGCTTAAACATAACTTGAACATCACTGCTAGCTTGATTTGTTGCTATTGAAATTGGTGGTTCAGAGAACTGCTTAATTAGGAGTCTTCAGACAAATCCTTGTGAAATGTCAAGTTGACTATATTGTTTCTGCTGGAATGGCATGCCACAGCAGCTGGTCATCCTGGCAGCACCAAGAAGGCACCACAGCTGTATATGAAACCATTCCTGGGAATGTTGACTTTATTGGCCCAAGTTGTCAAGAGCTGATGCACTTGCACTCTGGAAAAGAAATAGCATGAAATACACATTAGAAGCTGCATCATTCTCTCCCATCCAAAGCACAAGGGCATGAAAAATGTTCTTTCATGTTTAGACATCTATACATAGTAACGTCTTGTTTGCTTTATCCGTTCCCTCCGTTACTAGAAGGGAATCTAATCGCATTGCATCTAACAAGGTAATTTCCCTCTTTCATTATTTTCAAAATAAGGAGCTGTGCTTGGGAAATTCATAGCTTTTTATACAAATCTAGATATATGCTCAAAATTCTGTCTAATGGACCATACTTGCCTTGCTAAAATTGTCCAGAAGTACATTTCTGTAAATATGGATTTGTGTTGCCTTATTATTTTATGTGATTACCTTTATCCCTATTATTAGACAGAATGAGGTGGACACTCTTGGATGGTGAGAGGACAATAGCAGCAACCCTCCATAGCACTGCCCCTCCACTGGAGACAGATCTGTATGTATCATATCACTTGCTTGTACTCCATCAATTCGCCTACTGCCCTTAAGTACGATGGGGGAAGCATCATCACATGTTGTTTGACTTGTTAGAAACCTACTGTTGACCATAAAACAGGAGTAAATAGATGTCCATATCATCAAGGAATAATTTGCAGTGAATAATAACATAAATGTCAAGGATACTCTGACCCAGCAAAGCCTCTGAGGCAGCAGGGCCATGCCCCAGAGAACCAAATTACAGCATGAAAACCATAACCCCAAAGTTGGCGTTCATATTTTTGTAGACTCCTGAAAATGTCTGCAGCTGTTGTTTCTCTTGCTGGCTTCAAATAAGAAAGTGCACAACTGGGAAGCGAACCACAGTGCAAGAATAAAAACGCCTTTTGAAGTTAGAAATATTTGTCTGGATGACTTTGAAATTTATTGATACTCTGTGTGTGTCTATGATTTATATAGCTATCCAATTTTATGCAAGGTGACATACATCAATATATCAAAACTCCAAAACGATATGGTAAATAAAATATCCATAATCATCAACTATCAAACTCCCCCAAATTCATAAAGCAACAGATCAAACACCACGCAGCTGGAGCTGGAGCTCACCAATTGTACAAACCACCTCTCAGAAGACAGACTCATCCACCATCCTGGCACAGTGCCTGGTGGAGGGTTGGGCGGGGGGGAGAACTAAGCTTTTAACACATTCCTGAAGGCTAACAGAGTCAGGGCCATCCAGATCCTGCAGGAGAGATTGTTCCAAAGGGCAGGCAAACAGAAAAGGTCAAACAGAAAAGGCAGAATCTCAAGATTTGGGGTGTATTTCCCACTGTTTCATTGGCATTATTAAATAGATTGAGCAAATGTTATACACTAAGTATGAAATAATAGCTAATCCACATATTCTACCTTAAAAGAATTTTTTTTTGTCCTCAGTTGATTTTTTACTTTATGTTTCCCTCCCCAGATTGGGGCTTGACCTTCATATTTACCAACAAGCATATAAATCAGGATCAGCCCAGTGGCAAATGTTCACCACAATGAAATCAAAAGCAGGCCAGCAACCCACCACCTTTAAGCTACATGCACTTGGCCTTGATGCCATTGTATACTTCCAGCCCTGAAATTTGGTGCTAATAAAATGGGATTTTTGCGATCTAAAAGTTAAACACCTTCAACAAGTGGCAGTCCCAGTAGTAAAAATCCAATTTTTAAGTGAGAAACTACAAGGTATGAGAGTAACTTTCAAGGTTAGAACAAATGTATCCCCTTGACCAAAGGCATATATGTTTCCATTTGACTTTTTTATGTATTAGGCAGATCTGTTTCTCCTAGAGTAAAAATCCAGTCTCAGTTTATAGAAATTGATATATTGTTTCCTTTTCTTTTTACACAGTAAGAAAAATAAAAAGTAAGTTCTACTAGGTAGGGTCTTCCTGAAATTTTTTCTAGCTATCTTTTGTCAGCGCATAGGGAAATGAATTACACAACAGCAGTTACAAAATGTTTTTCATCTTAACCTTCCTTCTTTAAAAAAGATCAAAGCTCTTTTTCTGCAAGTGTTCAAACAACACGTGAGAACAAAACGTGAGGAACATGTACCAGTTCCACTCCAAAGTCTCCATGGTCTCAATTTCAATCTTCAACATTCTTCATTTTTTGTTCTGTGTTATCTGAACATGATTATGGAAATTATGAATGCCTCTGTCACTGCAATTATTAATTTGCATTGATAATGCAGGACATTTTTTAAAAACATGAAACAGCCTTCAGTTCTTGGGTGCTTGGAATTGGCCTTTCTCAACAGTGATTTAAGATAGTCTTTCCCAATCTAGTGCCCTCCAGATGTCTTAGATTACACTTCCATCAGTATCAGATGACTATACTAAACTGCATTAGAAATCAGATTAAACCCCAAAGAATTGAACTATCATCTGGACAAATACAAATCGAGGTGGGCACATGCATTGACCCAAGTAGAGCACCCATCATTGAAATGCCTGGAGCTTGGAGGACTCATATAGCTGCATCAAAGTCTCTCCCTGCTTGTCTACAGATGCATATCTATGCATCAGTAACACTTCTGCTGGGACTTCCTATGAAATGAAGCAACCGTATCAGTTTGAGGCAGGCACATGAGACTTCCAAAGGACATGGCTGTTTCAGTGCTTTGAAGACAATTGCTTTGCTCACACTATCACATTCATTCAAATGCTGTGCATGGTCCTAATGCATTTCTTCCAAATGAATTGGGAAGACATGGCTGTCTTATGCATGTACATAGATTTTCATGCAGGCACACACGCTGCTAACATTATACAGTCTTAGGAGAAATCAGAATATGGTACTTTAGTTATATAATTCTGTAATTTTACTTCTTTTAAGTATTTGGGTTCTTCTTTAGTATTCTACTATTTTCATCCTATATATCATTTTATTTTTCTTTACTCTGCAATTCCAAGCTCTGTAACCTTCATAATGTAAACATATATAAACTTGGCTACCAACTGTAATAAAGGCTGATAATATTACTATTTATTAAAAAGGATTAATCAGTTCATTCACATTCCTGAAGAACTGATGCATTAAGTACTATTACTCATGATGGCTAAAATGAAAACATTATAATCAACAGCAATATATTCCTGAATACCAGATACTAGGGCCAAATACTGGGGGAGAATCATTGTTCTCTTGCCCAGATTCTTGGAAAAAAGATACTATTTGCACTAATCCTTCAAACTCTCCTTTGATCATTCTTAACATTTCCTTCAAATCTTAGTGGATAAATCCACAACATGTTCCTCTAGCTTACCTATATAATAAGGTTAGTTCTTTTGTAACAACTCTTAATTATGCATATTCATCCTTAGCTTAAACTCATAACACAGATAGAGTTTCTTCAAAATGCATCCCTCATATGTTACTTCTGAAATATTTATCATAAGGAATACAAAAAAGGTTAGAGTTGTCAGATAAGTGATTTGAGTGGAATTTAAGTATGACTTATTCCAGGTGCAGGTCACTGACTTACTTTGGTTAACTGCATATCTGTAACTATAGTGTTGGTTAACTGCATATCACACCTTGACATTATAAATATTTATGTGCATTCCCCAAATTGAATCTCATATTTTTAATCATCCAACATCTTAACCAACAGAAAATTAAACTAATTAATCAACCTAATTGAAATGGAGTATTCTGGGTTATGCCCCATTGTGTCTTTCAACTCATGCATAACAGTCCAGGAGTTTGAGTTTAATGAAACAAAATATTGATAAGAACTTTGCACTGAACTGTAGTAGTGTGTAATTGCAAGAAACATGGAGAGCAATAGGGAAGTAAAATACATATTTCACATAAAATCTTTTTTTAAACAACAAACGAAGGATTAATAAAAAGGCAGAAACTATAAGTGCTTTAGGAATAAGTGTCATTAAATGTTCACTTTTGCGAAGGCATTTTCCTTTCCATACATACCACCACAGAAGACTTTGATTACTATCATTTGTGGTGTTTGATATCCATGATTTGTGGCTGGTATTGATCCAGTATTGGGTCTGGGCTTCTTTTGCCTCATTTTAGATAATCTACAGAACCCAGAGTCAGCAGAAGTACTCTGACCTGGAACCTTCACTTTTGAAGGTCATCTGCGAATCCATGCTTGACCTGGAACAAAGTAGTAGTCTTTCAGACTCCTCAGTGTTCCGATAAGACCAGACCTCCCCATTTGCCCCCACTGAATGTGGTCTAAGAGAAAGAGTTTCAAATTTGATATAAGTTTCTTTTGCAAGTTCATCTTCCTTGGTTGATTTTGGTTTCCTATGAAGCCTCACAACTTTATATAGTAAGAAAAAAATGAGCGGTATTGCTGCTGTGCAGCCTACCCCACTAGCCACTAGCAAAATGGAAATAGGAGATTTGTCTTCCATACGAATTCCATCAGTGAAGAAAATGATGCATTGATCTTTGGTGGGAGGAATCTCTTTGGGGCAGACACAGGCCATATACTTTGTGCTGGGCTCCAAACCATCAATTGTCACTTTGTTTTTTGTGGGATCTGGATTTAGGGACAACATATCTTTCTCCCCATACTTGGAATACAACACAGTCATAACAGAGCTATTAGAAACATCAATACCTTTCCACATTAAGGTCACTCTTTCACTGGTTTCAGGAATTACTCTTAGGCTTTTTAGAGTAACATTTTGTTCAGCTGCGGGCCCTGCACTGAGTGATGCACCCAACTGTTTTTCACTTCCATTGGCAATTGTGTTTGCATTCTTTCTGTCATCAGGTGTGGACTTGGGTTGTTTTCTGTCTGTTCCTCTTTTGGTTGTAAATCTTTCAGTGGTGGCCACAGTTGTAGAAGGAAAGGTGGTTGTAGATGTCATTGTAGAAGAAAAAGTCACATTTAAAAATTCTGGTTTCACATCTTCTTGGGCAGTATTTGCTTGGTCTGTTCCTGTCTTTTTCCCATACTTTGGGGGCGGTACTGTCGTGGTAACAACACCAACAACAGTGACAGTAACAGAAGCTTCTGACATTCCAGCCAAATTTTTGGCCTTACATCTGTAGTCTCCTGCATCTTTGTAGGAAATGCCTGTCAGACTAATGATGGACCATCTTACACCTTGTCCTGGACTTTCTTGAATAACTGGGAAAGAAAGAAATACAATATAAATGGCAATATAAATATATATTATTTATAAATGAATGAATGAATGAATGAATGAATGAATGAATGAATGAATGAATGAATGAAATTGAAAACAAAGA